GAGGTTGAAGCTACTAAAAATCATGTTCTTGAGACCTTCTATCCCATATCCCCCACTGCTGACCTTCAGGAATGTAATGTTTATGATGTGAAAGATGACACAGATTTCTGGGAGGTCTATCCTTACCCCCATCTCCATATCCTGCACTTCCTGGAGAGAGCCAATTTACAACCACACAGCCTTCAGCCAGATCAGCTGTGGGCAAAGATGATCCTGTTTGCTTTTGGCATTGCCCTGGCTCAGGCCCAGCTCCTCTATGGGAATGACACCAAGATCTCAGAGCAGTCCATGGTTGTGTGGACTGTAGGCACAGACAGACATGTGTTCCATTTCCTGTTGTTACAGCTGAACACCACAGACCTGGCCTCTAACAAGTGTGACAAGAGTTTGGTCTGAGTGGAATCATACCAGCTCCTCTCTCCGCATTTTTGGTGTTTTCCAATGACCAAAAAGAAGATAGGGCTGGGCACAGTGGCTCATGCCTGTAATCCCAGCACTTTGGGAGGCCGAGGTGGCTGGATCACGAGGTCAGGAGATCAAGACCATCCTGGTTAACACAGTGAAACCCCGTCTCTACTGAAAAAATACAAAAAATTAGCCAGGTGTGGTGGCATGTGCCTGTAATCCCAGCTACTCAGGAGGCTGAGGCAGGAGAATCACTTGAACCCAGGAGACAGAGGTTGCAGTGAGCCAAGATCATGCCACTACTCTCCAGCTTGGGCGACAGAGCAAGACTCCGTCTCAAAAAAGAAAAACAAGGATTGCTGTGTAATGTGTTGGGCTGACTGGTTTTCAGTGGAGACATCTAGGAAGTTTTTAGCTCTGTATTTGCATGGTGCTATATGAGCTGAGGACCAGTCTGAGGCCTGAAACCCCACTTTCCCTTCTCCCACTGAAGAGGGCCTGGGGTCCCCCTGGAGGCTCAGTGCTCATCTGGCCTGATGGTCTTGCTGACAATAAAGAGCCCTTGCATTGCAAAGGAAAAAAAACCTATTATAATTGTTTTGGAGTACCACGAATTATGCCCATATAAGAAGGCAAGCTTAATTGATAAATGTCATGTGTATTCCGACTGCTCCACGGATTAGCCATTCCTCCCTTCCCCCCACTCTCTCTGTCTTCCCCCACCTCTCCCTCCCTATTCCCCTTCCTCTCCCCCCTTCCCCCTCCCTCTTTGCACCTCCTTATTCCCTGAGACACAACAGTTGTGAAATTAGGCTGATTAATAACCCTACATTGGTCTCTGACTCTTCAAGTGAAAGAATAGTGAGACACAACAATGTTGAAATTCGGCTGATTAATAACCCTACAGTGGTCTCTGAGTGTTCAGGTGAAAGGAAGAGTCACATATCTCTCACTTTAAATCAAAAGCTGGAATTGATTATACTTAATGAGGAAGGCATATCAAAAGCTGAGACAGGCTGAAAGCTAGGCCTCTTGTGCCAGTTAACCAAGTTGCAAATGCAAAAGAAAAGTTCTTGAAGGTAATTAAAAATGCTACTTCAGTGAACACACGAATGACAAGAAGGCAAAAACAGCCTGATTACTGAGATGCAGAAAGTTGTAGTCATTTGAATAGATCAAACCAGCCACAGCATGCCCCTAAGCCAAAGCCTGATCCAGAGTGAGGCCCTAACTCTCCTCATTTCTATAAAGGCTGAGAGAGGTAAGGAAACTGCAAAAGAAAAGTTGGTTCATGAGGTTAAGGAAACCATAACATAAAAGTGCAAAGTGAGGCAGCAAGTACTGGTGGAGAAGCTGCCGCAAGTCTGCCCGAATATCTAGCTAATGCCAGGCATGGTGGCTCACGTCTATAATCCCAGCACTCTGGGAGACCAAGGCAGGACAATTGCTTGAGCTTAGGAGTTTGATACGAGCCTGGGCAACATGGTGAAACCCTGTCTTTACAAAAAATTAACCAGGCATGGTGGCACCTGCCTGTGGTCCCAGCAACTCAGGAGGCTGAGGTGAGAAAATCGCCTAAGTCTGAGAGGCAGAGGTTGCAGTAAGCCAAAGTCATGCCACTGCACTCCAGCCTGGGTGACAGAGTGAGACTTTGTCTCCAAACAAAAAACAAAAAAAGATCTAGCTAAGATCATTAAAGAAAATGGCTATAATAAACAGATTTTTCAATGTAGATGAAACAGCCTTCTATTGGAAGAAGGTGCCCTCTAGATTTTTCATAGCTAGAGAGAAGTCAGTGCCTGGCTGACTCCCTTGTAAGGGGCTAATGCAGCTGGCAACTTTAAGTTGAAGCCAGTGCTCATTTACCATTCTGAAAATCCTAGGGCCTTAAGAATGATGCTAAAAACTGCAAAGTTTTTGTCCTGAGTAGCCGGATGGATGGTGGTAGGCTGTAAGCCTGGTTTACCATCTTTAACATGGGCAAACTGTAGGGGACTGGCAGAAAAGTAGATTTTGCATCAGAAGGGATTTGGGACATACAAAGTTTGTGGTGGCTATAGGACATCCTAATTTAAAGCCAGGATAGCCAAAACTATATTTTTCAGATTTATTACTTGTTCCCTTTTGTCATTGTTAACAGTTTTTTTTTTTTTTTCCTATCACATCAAAAGCTGGGAAATCAGGATCTTTGTATTTTATAGTTGTGATGTAAAACTGTCCTGGCAGATAAATGGTAAATGTGGGGATGTTAAAATTCCATGTTATGAATTTGCTGGCTTCAACAAGATCCCATTTTCCAACTTTCCTACTAACGTGTGTCACAGATTTCCGAAAAATTCTGAATTTCATCCATCCTGTACTAAGTTGGCCTTGACTTAAAGGATTAGTAAATATGAATGTTCTCCTTTGGCAAGAGTTTAAAATTCTCAGAGGCTCTACTATATTTACTAAAGATTTTCTCAGGTTTCTTGAGACCCTCAGTTGTGCTAGGTATACAATAAATATATACTCATTTTTAATTTTGGTTTTATTATCTTTCTGCTATAACTTTCATGAACATTATTTTTTTCCTAGAAAGTTTAGTACCTTTGATGTATTAAGATTACTGTTATTTACTCTGTTTCCTTCTTACTTGTAATCTTGTTTTGTTTCTTTGCTTTGGTGGGTGGTAGAAAAAAGAAGAAAAAGATACTGTTATGAGGTGACATTCAGTATAAACAAGGAAAGGAAAAGTAGGTGCAGGAAATTAAGTTTTTTAAGTTTTAATTATCTTTTCTCTTTACTTCCTAAAAGCCAGCTAACCTAGTTTTATGTATTACAACGTTTGCAAATGTAAGCTTTTCTATCTTTGGTTTCTTTTATGTCAGTTATCTATTGCTGCATAAGTAAATTACATCCAAGTCAGAAGTGAAAACAACTATTTATTATCTCACACAGTTTCTGAGGATAGCAGTCCAGGAGTGGCCTAGCTGGGTAGTCCAGCCTCTCATGAGGCAGCAATCAGACTGTCAGCCAGGTCTGCAGTAATCTGAAGGTTTGCCCAGGGTTGGAGGATCCTCTTCTCAGATGGCTCACTCACAGGTGCTGTCAAGAGACCTCATTTCCTCACTGGCTGTGGTGGGAGGTCTATTTCTTTCCATAGTGATATGATTTGGTTGTGTCCCCACCCAAATCTCATCTTGAATTCCCATGGTTATGGGAGGACCCAGTGAGAGGTAATTGAATCATGGGGCCAGGTCTTTCCCGTGCTGTTCTTGTAATAGCGAGTAAGCCTCATGAGATCTGACGGTTTTATAAGGGGGAATGTCCTTGCACAAGCTCTCTTCTCCTGTCTGCTGCCATGTGAAACATGTCTTTCACCTTCCACCATGATCGTTGAGTCCTCCCTAGTCACATGGAACTATAAGTCTACTAAACCTCTTTCTTTTGTAAATTGCCCAGTCGTGGGTATGTCTTTATCAGCAGCATGAAAATAAACGAATACACTTACCACTTGAACCTCTCTGCGGGGCTACCTGAATGGCCTCCTGCCACAGTCCTGTGCTTCCTGGGGCAAGTGAGTGAGAGAGAGAGGCAAGAGAAGGAGTGGAGGTGTTCCGTTATTGACTCTAGGATTTTCTTCCTAATTCCTGTCAAAAGTCTTCCAAGCTTTGGTGTTGGCAGTTGTTCCTCAAAGGAGAGATGTTTGTGTCACAGGTATATAAATATGTATCCCATTGCTCTGTGTCCTTCTCTTCCAAAATCATTTTCATTTCAGTGCTAAATAAGAATGCAGTCATTTGAAGACATTTTCAATGGTGTTGTCTTTGTCCATTGCATGCTGCTGTAATAGAGTACCACAGACTGGGTAATTTTTAAAAAATACATCTATTTCTCACAGTTCTGGAGCCTGGGAAGTCCATCATCAAAGAACCAGCTTCTGATGAAGGCTTTCTTTCAGTGTCCTCACATGGTAGAAAAGAGAGAGAACCCACTCCTGCAAACCCCCTTACTACAGCGGCATTAATTCATTCACAAGAGTAGAGCCTCCCTCTAGGCCCTACCTCCCAACATTGTTACATTGGGCATTCAGTTTCCAGCACATGAATTTGGGGGCACACATTCAGACCACAGCAGGCATTGCAACTTAACACTTGTAATACTAACAGTGCATGTAACTCGATTGATGTGGCAGCCATATGAGCATTTATGACCAGGTATTTCCTTCCATGAGCTGACACTGAGAACTACCCTTGGGCTGTTGCCTGACAGGCATCTGTTATAAGGTGCATCCTGATTTCAGAAGTGTTATAATACAGGAAAAAAGCTTCTAAAAATTGAAGAAATGTGGTAAATAATTTTCTCCCCCACCCAATCATGGGGGAAGTACAATAGATCAAAGTCTTCTGTAAGTAAGTTTCTTTCCTCTGATTTTACAAAGCCTGCACCTCACAAACTATAAATCTGATTGAAAAGGAGATGTGAATGAGTGATTTGTGACAAAGATAAAAATGCAGGTTATTTGTAAAATGTTTCAGTTTTTGGTTTCAGATGTATAAACAAGGAAAATCCCTCTTTTGTGACTTTAATTTTTTTTCTTTTTTTCTTTTTTTTAGGCATAAAGATTACTATAAACCCAGAGTCAAAGGCAGTCTTGGCTGGACAGTTTGTGAAACTGTGTTGCCGGGCAACTGGACATCCTTTTGTACAATATCAGTGGTTCAAAATGAATAAAGAGGTAATTTTTTTAAATATGTCTTTTAATTCTTCTGTTATAAGGAGAGAGAATGACAGAGAATTAATTAACATTATTGTCCTAAATGTAGTTTTAACAGTTTGGTAAAAGAGTCTGATAGACATTGTTAGGTTGTTACTGAAATACTCAATAATCATCAGTTTGGTAAGACAGTTCCAGAGTTGTGTCATTAAAACAATTGTAAACAATAATGAAATCAGTTCTTCACTCTAAAAATGGTGGAAAATAGAGATTACTTAGGGCAATAGTGTTAGCAAGTGTGAAACATCACCAGTACTTTCCTGTATATACAAAACTCTTTACAACAGATTATGTTCCGTCCAAAAATCTTTAAAAGATTTTCAAGGCTCTGTGGAAAATTAATTTGCTTTTTTTTTTTTTTTTTTAATTCCACATCACTGTTTTATTGGTATCAGAAGATTTAGGGCCTTGTGGTAGATCCTGAAGTAAAATTCAGGTTGGCAGAATGGGCCATTTATTCCTTTTGTGGAGTGATTGGCTCCCTGCAGCACCCAACAAATAATTTAAAATAACATCTTAGAATTCTCTTTTTTTCAGAGTTCCTTGAGCCATCCTGCACTTTGGATTTTTCAGTGGGCAGGCTGCCCGCGTTGTGTCCCACTTCTGTGGGCTTTTCTCTTCCATTCCCTCATCCCTCTCTGGCCTCCTCCCATCTCCACACTATCTTGAAAGTCCATATTCTTTTCACCCTGGTAGTCACAGTAATTCAGCTTTCTTCCATACTTGATGCCATGTCTCCCTTTGCAAATCTGAAACTAAATAAAAACTGTTCTGAGAATGACTTTTCCTTTAATTGCATTGCCTCATACTGTAGGAGAATTCTGTGGTTTTATAGTCATCTGTTACACAGAGGTAAGACAGAACAACTGTGGAGTATAGCGAAAAGATTGCTTGTAGCTTTGGCACTAGATAGGTCTGTGTTGGAACCCTGACTACCATTATTAGCCATGTGAATTCTTATCATCAGAGGTTGTGAGAATTAAGGAGAGAGGATGTTTTTCATGCCTAGGCTCTTGAAAGATGGTAACTAAAGGTATTTTTTTAATCATATTTTCTCAATTGCAAAGTTACTTTAATTTTAATAAATGCCCTTTGAGGAGAAATAATGGAAAAAACCCACTACATTAAGTATATCATTTGTAAACTATGTCCTGATTGGAGAAAGGTAGAAATGTAGGGGATGGAAGATGCATCTTAGATTTGAAGCGTTGTAATGGATCTTAAAACTCTTGGCGAATCAAGTTTTGTCAAACCACTCTTATGATCATAAGTGTATTGTAGATGTTACTTAACAAGTGCTTGCTGAGCACCTGTTTTGTGCCAGGCCATGTTCTAGGCATGATGATATGGCAGCGACCATAAGGTCTCTGCCCTCAAAGAGCTTTCACGCCAGTGGGGCCACAGCAAGTACTGTCAATTCCTGTGAGTTAAGAACTATGAGGAAATTCAACAGGGCGGCGACATAGTGTGAGAAGCTACTAAAGGTTTTAAGCAAGGGAAGTAACATGTTTTTAAAACATGAACTTGCTGCTTGAAGAAAGCAGAGAACAGCAAGGTGACCAGTTGTCTAATGCCTGTGCTTGACTGGAAGTAGCAGTAGTGTGGACTAGGGCAGAGCAGAGGAGGTGAATCACAGTGTGTAATTCAGTGTGTGTTTTAGAGATACAGGTATTGATCGACTTACCACCTATGCAACTTGTGACCATTTGACTTTACGACCATAATCGCTAGCCACGACTGCTCTGCGTCTGGCAGCGCAAACGTTGCCCAGCTGGGCGTACGACAGTGCGGACCAGCTTCCGGCAGCACTACCATCTCCGCGTGTACCATTTCAGCTTTACATATGGCCCACTCAACTTACGACCAAATCGTGTTACAACCAGTCCGCGGTCCCGACCGTGGTCGTAAGTCGAGCACTAGCTGTAGTCATCCAAGCTAACAGATTAGATGTAGAGCATGGGGAGAAGAAAGAGAAATCAAGGATGACCCCTAGGCTTTCCACATGAGCATCTGAGATACATTATATACTGAGGGGTTGAAGATTGAAGAGGAATAGATTTAGGGGGAAAAATCAAAAGTGTGGCTTTAGACGTGTTGCATTTCAGATACCTAGTACACATCCAAATGAATCAGCTAGGCCATTTGAGTATCTGGGGAGACAACATTGAGATTTATGTAGTGGAGGAGGCACCAGTGAAGAGACTAAGAAGAGTCTGCCAGGGAGATGGGAAGCGAGCCAAGAGAGGATGGTATAAAAGTAACAAAGAAAGTATTGCAAGTAAAAATGGATAGCCAGCTTCTTCAGTCCTGCTGAGAGAGTATAGGATCAAGAGAGGTTTGTTAGGCTTTTTGGTTTATTTAAGATAGAAAGTACTAGAGCATGCGTTTTAGTCTGATACAGTAAAACATACAGTAAAAGGGAGAAATAGATGCCAAAGCAAAGAGAGAGAAAATTTCAGAAGCGAGGCCAGAGAGGATGGGATTGTTGGGAAGGGAATAACTTTTCCTCTACTTTCTTAGGTTCAGTGCCTGGGGCACGCAGATTAACTGACAGAAGACAGATTAACAGAGAAAAAGCTTATTTGTGTGCATGCAAGAGCCTACAGAAGGAGTAGCTTGCTAACTGGTTAAGTTATATGCCTAATTTAGTAGGGAAGGGCAGGGACCCTATGAAAAGAATGAATGGTTTTCTTCAGGAAAGACAAAGGGGAAAACAACAAAGGGAGATAGCAAAGTTTCTGGTAATGTTCATTCATGCAGGCACCAGTGGTGTCTCCTCTTCATCGTGATCATAAAGTCCGACAAGAGAGAATTTATGGCAGCCTCATTTCCCAGAGCTTTCCGTCTTGGGTCAGATAAAGGAAGCCTGAGAAGACTTCTTTCTGCATCTGTTGAATCCCAGATGTCTTCAGTTTAATATACTCTTCATACCAACTCTGGAATTCTGCTTGGGTCCCCACACATCTTTAGCCCAAGTAGCCTTTGTTAAGAAGATGCATCTTCATTTTAACAGGAGGGAACAGAGCAATTGTAAATAGGTACAGACATGGATATGTTTGTGATTCGTTGGCAGTAAAAGGAGATAACTTCTATCTGAAGTCAGTGCCTGAGAGATGTAGGATTACAGGAGGTTTGAGGAGAAAGTATACATCAGTAGTCTAGAAGGAAAGCACCCTTAGGACAATACAGTAGGGTTGTCAGGCAGTTCTAAGAGCAGCCTATAGTCCCAGTTGTCACATCTTCAGCAAAATACTGTTGCTTTGGTGTAGGTACTGAGAGGGGAGAGAGTAGAGTTCAGTTACTTGGGGTTTGGAGAGGGAGGGGTGAGCTTGTTAAAGTACAGGTTGAGTATCCCTTATCTGAAAAGCTTGGGACCGGCAGTGTTTCAGATTTTGGATTTTTTTGGATGCTGAAATATTTGCACTGTATACTTAAAAGTTCAGCATCCCAATCTGAAATGTTCCAGTGAGCATGATGGAGGTTCTCAAAGAGTTTTGAATTTGGGGGTATTTCAGATTTTAAATCCTCAGATTGACCTGTTCTTTGCAAGGAAGTTGTTGTAATGAGGCACTTGAATAAGCCCTTGGCAACGTGCTGAAGTTGGTGTAGCTAATAAATTGCTGGGAGCAATAAAAGCAGTAATAAAAGAAACCTTAGTATTGGAGGTGGGGCCTGTGGATGGTGGTCCCGTCTTTTACTGTCTCGTTGATATGCTTTCCATAGCCCTTCTCTGTCTAGACCTTGAAAGAGATTGGATATTTTTTGGTTAAGGAGTCATCCTCTTACAGAATTTGGCAGATCAGAAGATGGGTTCTTAAGGTAAAATAACTTACCCATGTCCTCCCAGCTAATTCAGAGCTGAAAGCAATAGCCAGGCCTAATTCTCTGTGTTTTCTATAAGCCCCTGTAGTGTTTGTATGTTGTACAAACATACAAACTGCTAAACTCATTAATGTTACAGTTTTAGATTCTTTCAGTACTGCTAAACTCATAAGTGTTGCAGTTTTATATTCTTTCAGTACTTAATGATACTTTCAGTACTCAAATGATGACTTAAATGACAGATCAGGTAGTTTTCTGTTAGTGAGCCTTCGGAAGATGTTTGGGGGCCAGCTTAACTCTCTGGTTAATGGATTCATAAAAGATTGGATTCATAATACTTCAGTCCTAAATAACTCAAAGTGTTACTGTTTTTAACTCAGAAGTATTTTAGAACTTGGGGGGAAGAGTTACACTTGGAAAGCTCCACACTGAACTCACAGATTTTGTACAGCGTATTTTATAAGGTGTGTTTTTGATGAATCATCCACTGCTATTCTCTTACTGATTCTTTCACAGATTCCGGATGGAAATACATCAGAACTTATTTTTAATGCAGTGCATGTCAAAGATGCGGGCTTTTATGTCTGTCGAGTTAATAACAATTTCACCTTTGAATTCAGCCAGTGGTCACAGTTGGATGTTTGTGATGTTCCAGAAAGCTTCCAGAGTAAGTAATGAAAGAAGCTGAATGTTGGGATGGGGATTACCCTTATTTATTTTTATTTTATTTATTTTATTTTAAATGTTTATCTTTAAATAATTTCAAAGTATCAAAAATAGTAGCAAAATTTCACGTATGTATTTCATCCAGTATAATGTCAGCCATTGTTAAGATTTGATCCATGCGCTTTGTCTTTCTTTTTTTTTTTTTTTTTTTTTTTTTTTTTTTTTTTTTTTTTTTTTTTTTTTTTTTTGAGACAGAGTCTCACTTTGTTGCCCAGGCTGGAGTGCAGTGGTGCCATCTGATCTCAGCTCACTGCAGCCTTCGCCTCATGGGTTCAAGCAATTCTTCTGCCTCAGCCTCCTGAGTAGCTGAGATTACAGGCACATGCTATCACATCGGCTAATTTTTGTGTTTTTGGTAGAGGCGGGGTTTCACCATGTTGTCCAGGCTGGTCTCGAACTCCTGACCTCAGGTGATCCGCCTGCCTTGGCCTCTCAAATTGCTGGGATTACAGGTGTAAGCCAACATACCCAGCCTGCTTTAATTCTCTTTTCTCTGTGTGTGTGCACGCATGCACGTGCACACACACACCATACATATACATGTATACGTGTGTGCGCAGATCCCTTACAATGACATAGACAGATCTTAAGTCTGGTTCCTGCCACTGACTTCTTCAAGCCTTTCTTCATGGTCCATTACTCTGCCCTCACACGCAACACCTATACTCAACTTAGTTTCTCCCTGCTGCTTCCATTGTCTCAAAAATGCCTTGCATGTTTACACTCCATGTCTTTGCATCAGTTCTTCCTTCCATCTTGAATACCTTTTCTGCCTGGCATATTCTTATGATTCTTTCAAGCCTCAGCTCCCTCTGCTCTCTTGGCATTCTGATTTTACCTCTATTACAGACCTTGTTACGTTGCTTTTAAAATTATTTCTTTGCCTAGCTGTCTGAGCAGTATAGGGGTAAGGAATTCCCTTTTCTCTTTCTAGTTCTTAGAACAAAGCCTGGCAGGTAGTAGTCCCTCATCAGTTATGCAATTCAGTGCCACCTTCATGAGGCACAGCCTTGGGCTTAGGTGTTACAACTATTTTAAACTAAGCATAAAAGAGAGCCCCTGACCCCAAATTATTTACATAACTATCAGGAAAGATTATCTGCTGCAATAGAAAGTAGGAAGACTTCCTTGCTACCACCTCTTTTCCCTAAAAGTTAATCTTTTGAACATAATTCCATATTATGGTTGTTTATGTTATCAGGCTTGTCTCCCTATTTGACTAAACTCCTGAAGGGAAAGTCTGGGTCTTACTAATCTTTCATAAAACCAAACACTTAATAACCAATAGCACTCAGTAGATGTTTGTTGACAAAATGAAGAACCAGGGTGAATTCTGTTTAACAAAGCAGAGATGGAAATATTTCCATCAAAAACTTTTAATATTTTTACATTTAAAGCACAAATTCAAAGCTATCTAAAAATCTTTGAAGGATTCTTGATATCTAAAACTTTTCCTTATTTAAGAAACAGAGTGTGGATCTGACATGGTAGCTCACACCTATAATCCCAGTACTTTGGGAGGCTGGGTCCTGGGGTGGGTGAATCACTTGAGGCCAGGGATTCAAGACCACCGTGGGCAACATGGCAAAACCCCAGCTCTACAAAAAAAAAAAAAAAGCAAAAAAATTAGTTAGGCCTGATGGTGCACACCTGTAGTCCCAGCCGAGGTGGGAGGATCACTCAAGCCCTGGAGGCAGAGGTTGCAGTGAGCTGAGATCACACTAGTGCACTCCAGCCTGGGTGACATAGCAAGACCCTGTCTCAAAAAAAAAAGAAAAAACAAAAACCGATTGTTAAACTAACATCATGGAAAAATGCTCTTTCCTGAAATTACTCTTACTCATGAATACTAAATATGATCATTATAAAAAGCAGATCAGTACATAAACACCTAGCATTTGAGACCTGATAGTTTTGAGTTCTGTATTTAGGATGTGAATCAAGAAGAGGTCAGTTTGTTATGGATTTGAATGTTGTGGTCTCCAGTTTGCAGAAGAAAAACTCTCATATAGTAGTCTTGCTGCTCACTTTTCAATTCTTTTCCATAATGTATATTTTTCGCCCAAACTATTGTATTGCTCCTAAAAAAATTATGTTGTAGAAGAAAAAAAAAAAAAACTCTAGAGTTGATGTCAGCACTAAAGGCCATGTAAAATATCATTCACTGCAAGGAAACTTGCTTGTCTACTTTGCGACTCACTGTGCTCCATCTTTAGTTCAGTAGCTAGTATTAAAACAAAAAACCAGTCTATTCTAAAGAGTAGTTGTCAGATATTATTTTGTTTATGCGGTGCACAATCAAGAACCATGTTCTCTGTTGTTATTTGCAGACAAAAAGAAGAATAGGGAGGGAAACAGACTTTTTGTTAAAAGAGTTAGAATGCTGCTATCATTCTTCTCTCTTTAACCTTTCCTTAACTCAACGTTAAGGTTATTGAGAAATAAAAATATCACGATTTTCTTTAAAGAAAGAATACCTCATGCACCTCTGTATTAGCCCATTCTCACACTGCCGTAGAGCTACTACCTGAGACTGGGTAATGTATAAACATAGGAGGCTTAATTGACTCACAGTTCCGCATGGCTGGGGAGGCCTCAAGAAACTTACAGTCACCGTTGATGGTGAAAGGGAAGCAAGGCGCATCTTACATGGTGGCAGGAGGGAGAGAGAGCAAGCAGGGGAAATGCCAGACACTTAAATAACCAGATCTCTTGAGAACTCACTATCAGAACAGCACAGGGGAAACTGTCCCCATGATCCAGTCACTTCCCACCAGGTCCCTCCGCCAATATGTGGTTACTACAGTTCAAGATGAAATTTGAGTGGGGACTCAGCCAACCCATATCAGCCTCTCTCAATTTTATTTAATTTTTTATCCCATTTTTATTCAGGAGTAATGTATGTACAGTACAATATACAGGTCCTAAGTGTACAGTCCGGTGAGTTTTAACATATATATAAAACATGGGTATATGTATCCATTTATCATATATATAGTCACTGACCAGTCTAGGTATTTTATATCCGGCTTCTTCCATCCAGCGTAGTGTTTTTAAGATTTACTCATGTTCAGTGTATCATTAGACAGTCCTGTCTTTGCTGAGTAATATTCCATTGTATGAATTGGCTAGTTTGTTTATTCCTTCGCCTATTTACCCATGTCGTTCAGTGTATCATTAGGCAGTCCTGTGTTTTTGCTGAATAATATTCCATTGTATGAATTGACTAGTTTGTTTATTCATTCTGCTATTGATAGACATTTAGTTTGTGTCGAGTTTTGGAATATTATGAAAAAAGCTGCAATGAACATTCTCATACAAGGTCTTTTCTGGACATATGTTTTATTTCTTTTGGATAGTTACATGGAAGTGGAATTGTTGCGTCATAGAGTAGATAATTTTTTTTTTTTAACTGCCAAAGCTTCCAAAATAGTTTACCGTTTTGCATTACCACCAACAGGGTATGAGAATTCAGGTTACTCGCTCCTTATCTTGGCCGATGTTGGTTGTTGGATCTTATTGATGAATTGACCTTTTGATCATTATGAAATGCTTCTTTATCTCTGGTAATCCTCTTTGTCTTGGGGTTTACTTTGTATGATACTAATATAGCCATGGAAAGTTTCTTTTTTGTTTTGTTTTGAGAGCGGGATCTTACTCTGTCACCCAGGTTGGAGTGCAGTGGCACAGTCATGGCTCACTGCAACCTCTGCCTCTTAGGCTCAAGTAATCCTCCTACCTTAGTGTTTCAAGTAACTGGGACCACACACATGCACCACCACACCTGGCTAATTTTTTGTATTTTTGGTAGAGACTGGGATTCTTCATGTTGCCCAGGCTGGTCTCGACCTTCTGAGCTCAAGCACTCTGCCCGCCTTGGCCTCCCGAAGTGTTGGGACTACTGGCATGAGCTACCGTGCCTGGCTAGCACCGTGGTAGCTTTCTTAAGCTTTTTTGTACAGTATATATTTTTCATTCTTTTAATTTGGAATGTCTTTGTTTAAAGTTTTATTTCAGATAACAGAATATAGATAAGTGTTGCTTTTTGCTCTAGTCTGGAAAAAAGTCTCTTTTAAGGTGTTTAGACCATTTACATGTAATGTGATTATGTTTAAGTCTGACATCTTAGTGTTTGTTTTTAGTTAGTCTCATTTGTTCCCTTTTGATCCTCCTTTCCTGCCCTCTTTTGCATGAAAGAGTATTTTTAAATATTATGTTTTTTAATGTTTTTTAAATATAAAATTTTTTATATTTTATCTCTTTTATTGACTTTATTGTCTTAATGTGATTTTTTTAGTGGCTGCTTTAGAGATTACAGCATACCTCTAACTTATTATAGTAAACCTTCAAAACGTATTCTACCTTAAAATATAAAAACCTGTATAGTATGCTTTCATTGTGCCCTCCCATTGTATATTTGTCATATTTTACTTCTACATTTACTTTTAAGCAATCTTGTAAGGATAAATATGTGTGTGTAATTTTTAAAGGTTTTGTCTAAAATATTCACTGACGTAGTTACCTGCTGTGGTGCTCTTCAGTCTTTCCTTCTGACATAGGTTGCTGTCAAGTAAAGTTTCCCTTCTGGCTGAAGAATTCCTTTTAACACTTTCTATAGTTCAGATCTACTGTTTGTAATAATTTATAAAAATTATTTGTGAAATAATTTGTAGGCATATTATCTCAGCATTTGAATTCTTTATCTCTCATTGTCTTCATTTTTGAAGGATATCGTTGCTTATAGAATTTTAGAGATGTGTTGGTTTGTTTTCACCACTTTAAAGATGCCATTTCATTGTCTTTTCAATGGCCTCCATTGTTTATCATGGAAATTTGTTTATCCCTTTTATAATTGTTCCCTTGAATTCTTCCTGCTTGGAGTTTTCTGATTCTTAGACCTGTAAGTTGATATCTTTTATCAATTTTGAATCATTTTTAGCCATAATCTTCAAATATTTTTCTTCTACTTTCCTTTCTTTCTGGGTCTTTAGGTGTACGTTAGACTATTTGATATTGTCCCACAGATCTTCTAAGTTCTGTCCTTTTTTTTCTTTCCTTTACTTTATCTCTTTATTTCCAGTTGGATTTCTTTTAACCTGTTTTCAAGGTTACTGATTCTTTTCTCTGGTGTGACCTGCCTGCTGGAAAGTTCATCAAATGCACTGAAGAATAAAAATCTTGATATTTTTAATCTCTGTTATTTCCATTTGGCTTTTTTTTTTTTTTTTTTT